ACCGCTATGCGGTATCTAGTTTTATTGCCTAATCATTAAGTAGTTGTGATCTTTCAACCTGCTTTTTGCCCAATCTAGCCATGCCCAGATTTACTATTTTCGTCCTGATGTCCTTTGACACTTTTGTGTTTTTTTTCCATAGTGGTGAATAGGTTGGAGTAGCAGAAATTAATTATATGGATAGATGGACTTTTTACACATAAGTTTAAAACTGGAGTTTCTAAAGTAAATAAGTGATTAAGCTAGTCATCTGTGTGCTACATTGGCTCAAAATCAATATGTGGTATGAGGTTTTACCATTATTTGTTCACACTGATGCCATCTAATTCTCATTGACATGTCGCGTCAAAAAATGTGAAAGCAAAATTTTTAATGTTTTCATTCATTCATATTATATTTATTGGCAGGATTAGTGTAATAGACATTTTATTTACCAGTGTAGTTTTTTTGTTTGTTTGTTGTTGTTTTTACACAAAACTAGTTAAAGAGGGTGACATTAAGTTAGGTGAACTCTTCTCTTTCCACACATACTGGAAAAAAACACAGGACTCCTATGCAAAAACCTCAGCCTCTACAATGTACTAGGTAAATAAGAAAAAAAAGAAAAATTCTAATTTTTGGCACTTTGGAGAAATTTGCCATGCATAAAAAAATAAAGTAAAATAACTGCTCATTATTATGTAGAAGAAGTTCAGAGGGGGAAAAAATCCAAAGCATAATATGAATATGACAATTTAAGCATCTTGTTTCATCCCACCCTTTAGGTCATCAGAGATGAACCACCATTATTCAAATGTTACATTTTTTACTGCTCTAAAGGGCATAAATATACCAGTACAAGTCTTTCCTCTACACTAAGATAGATGTCAGCGCTGAGCACGCCAACATTAAACTTAGCATGACATTTGCACAGAGATGGCCAGAGCAAGGATGGGCACTTTTACAGTTATTGTTGGTAGCATCTTTCTCTCATGCAGAAGAGCCAGAATGCCGACAAAGAGGCGATGCTGAAAACCCACAACTAGTTAAAGAGGGTGACATTATGTTGGGTGGACTTTTCTCTTTCCACACCTACTGGAAAGGAACACAGGACTCCTACATGCAAGAACCTCAGCCTCTACAATGTACCAGGTAAATTTATAAAAAAGAAAAAAATCCAAAGTGAAATAATAATAATAATAATAATAACTTCAAGAAAAATTATGTATTTTTAACAGATGAGGACTGTAGCTTAAAATGCAAATACTTTTCCAATTTTTTGTGTATTTAAATATATTGCTTACAGTTTGTGTTAGAAGTATGTTTGGGTTTTTCTAAGATGTATCTTCTTTATTTAGAGAACACTGTAATGCATAATATACGCAATAAATATATATTTTTCCCACTGTAGCTTAAATTTCAGAGAATTCCAGTTAGCCCAGGCAATGCTTTTTGCCATCAAAGAAATAAACAACAGGACAGACTTGCTGCCAGGTGTTTCTCTGGGTTATAAAATTTATGATACCTGTGGCTCTATTGCCAGAAGTGTAAGAGTTGCTTTAGCTTTGATCAATGGTAACGAAATTATGGCTTCACCTTTGAAGACATGTTCAAGTCCTGCACAAGTTCAAGCCATATTAGGTGAAACTTCTTCTTCTCCTAGCACAGCAATTGCTACATCCATTGGACCATTTCATATCCCACTGGTAGGTATGACTGGTTAAATCTATAAACACTGAGAACAATGGTGTATGTAAAAAGTTATATATATATATATATAAATATATATATGTTTTTTTTTTCATGTAGATCAGTCACTTTTCCACATGTGCTTGTCTCAGTGATAAAACAAAGTACCCATCCTTTCTCAGAACCATACCCAGTGACTACTATCAGGCCAGAGCTCTGGCTCATTTAGTCAAACACTTTGGTTGGTCATGGGTTGGAGCTGTTCGATCAAATGAAGATTATGGCAACAATGGCATGGCAATATTTACAGAGACAGCAGAGCAGCTGGGCATCTGTCTGGAATATTCTGTGTCTTTCTTCAGGACAGACCCATCAGACAAAATACTAAAAATAATTGATATTATCAAGGCGTCTACGTCAAAAGTGATTGTCACTTTTCTTTCCCACATGGACTTGGATATATTATTACATGAGTTTTCTAATTACAACTTAACAGGGTATCAGTGGGTTGGTACTGAGGCATGGATTTTTGATTCTCAAACTGCTGTAGGTGATAAAAATCACATCTTGGATGGAGCTATAGGCCTTTCTATCCCAAAAGCATATGTCAGTGGCATTAAAGAATTCATTCTGGATGTAAAGCCACTAAATTCAACAAATATTGAATTGTTTACAGAGTTCTGGGAGGCATTATTTAACTGTAAGTTCAAGCAGTCACAATCAGAGGAGAGTCAGACAGAATGCACTGGACATGAGGATCTGACTGCAGTAGAAAACAGCTTCACTGACATGTCCCTGATGCCTATTTTTAATAATGTCTATAAAGGAGTGTATGCAGTGGCCCATGCTCTGCATGATATCCTCAGCTGTAATAAAACATGTGACAAGAAAGTGCAGCTAGATCCATTCATGGTAAACTTTGCAATAATTGTTAAATTAGTTTGTTAAATAAAATCAAACTAATGCTTTTTAAGAAATAAATTGCATATTCTTTGTTGTCCTTCAGGGTATTCTGTTGTTTATCTTTGTTATTACTTATCTTTTTAGATATTACAGCATATAAAAAATGTTAACTTTAAAACAAAAGATGGGGACACGGTTTATTTCAATAAGAATGGAGATCCAGCAGCAAAATATGAAATTATAAACTGGCAGCCAGGTGAAAATGGACACGTACAATTTGTCACAGTTGGTCTTTATGATGCATCATTGCCTGTTGACAAACAAATGAATTTGCAAAATGGATCGCTGATATGGACACAAAACTCACTGCAGGTTAAAACATTTTTAATATAAGTATTTTCCATAGCTGTAGATAAACTTTATTTTTTCTTTAGATTATAACCTGTGAGGAGAATATCAGAGGTTCTCCAAACTGGTCTGATTTCTGCAGGTTCCGGTGTCAGTTTGCAGTGAGAAGTGTCCTCTAGGAACACAAAAAGTGCTCCAGAAAGGAAAACCTGTTTGCTGCTATGACTGTATAAGATGTGCAGAGGGAGAAATAAGCAACATTACAGGTCAGTTAATGTTTGCTAGAAGCTTTTCAAGTTCTGCTAACCAGTGCAGGACTGCACTTCATATAATGAGCATCACGTAAAATCTTCAAAACCTGAGCTAAACTGTTGGCCTTATTTCTGTCTTATTATTAAATTCAAGATTCTATCACCTGTATGAGATGTCCCCCTGAATTCTGGTCAAATGAAAGAAGAGATGTCTGTGTAACAAAGAATGCTGAGTTTCTATCATATGAAGACATCATGGGAATACTGCTCACCACAGCCTCTTTATTTGGAACATGTATGACGGCTGCTGTAGCTGTCATCTTCTTCAGACACAGGACAACTCCTCTTGTCAGAGCAAACAACTCTGAGCTGAGCTTCCTGCTGCTTTTCTCCTTGACTCTGTGTTTTCTCTGCTCTCTGACCTTCATTGGACGTCCCTCTGAGTGGTCCTGTATGCTCCGTCACACAGCTTTTGGTATCACCTTTGTCCTTTGCCTCTCCTGTGTTCTGGGGAAAACAATAGTTGTTTTAATGGCGTTTAAAGCTACACTTCCGGGCAGTAATGTGATGAAACTATTTGGGCCTACACAGCAGAGACTCAGTGTTCTGGGTTTTACATTAATACAAGTTATCATCTGTATTCTCTGGCTGACAATTTCTCCTCCTTTTCCATCTAAGAATTTTAAAAGTTTTAAAGATAAAATCATCTTGGAGTGTGCTCTGGGTTCAGCTGTAGGTTTCTGGTCTGTACTTGGATACATTGGACTTCTTGCTTTTTTGTGTTTCATTTTTGCTTTTCTGGCTCGTAAACTGCCTGATAATTTCAACGAAGCTAAATTTATCACCTTCAGCATGTTGATATTCTGTGCTGTATGGATCACTTTTATCCCAGCGTATGTCAGCTCTCCTGGAAAATTCAGTGTTGCTGTAGAAATCTTTGCTATTCTCTCTTCTAGTTTTGGACTGCTGATTTGCATTTTTATCCCAAAATGTTATATTATGATGCTAAAACCAGAAAGAAACACAAAAAAGAATATGATGGGAAAAGCAGCATCAAAATCATTCTGAAAAACAACAAATCTGCATAAAATAAATGCTTATGGAGCAACTTTTCAAGCATTGTTTTACATTAAGAAAAATAGATGAGTTTTATTATTTTAATTTAAATGTCTTTAATGTAACACACAGGTTTTGTGAAACATTACACCTTTTTTGAGGTAATGCTCTTTTCTTTCTGTGTGCTTTCCTAATAGTTAACAAAACCATGTGATAAAACTAAAATTAGGTATTTATTGAAAAAATGTGTCAGACATTTAAATTTAATGTATAGTATAAATTTACTTTTAAAATAAATATGTTTGAGAAAATGTATCATTGATATACTGATATTTTTGTGCTTGTTTATTTGCATATCTAAATAAAATATACAAACAATGAGGAAATTAGTGTGATCTATATCATTCCTTTATTGTATAAATGCTTCTAGGCAATAAAGTCAGTTGAAAGTCCTCCTAATTCCCCTTTTAAATGGAGCCACATTTGTAAGGAACATGCATTTATAGGATGAGAAGAGCTGAGTATGTGTTGCGCACATGAAATTATGTTCAAATCCTCTTTGCCATTACCAAACACCTTATCTTGCTTTGCTATTGAAACTTGTTTTGAGCTTCTGGTAACCTTAGATGCTGACAATCAATATCAGGATTTATTGCCAAGAAGTGTTGTTACAACAAAGAAATAATCTAATAAATAATCATTTACTCACTTTTTGTGTTGAGTAAATAATTATGTGGTTCAAAGCTTCTAAGAATTGACATTTTTGCAAATATTTTGCTACAAATTACATTTACTTTATTAAACAAAGAAAGTCCATGCAATGTTCTTGCCTCTTTATAGTTAGTTTATACTTTAAAACATGACTCCATGGTCACCATGCACCTTGTTTTGCACCATCATTTAGTTCCACAGAGAAAAGGACATCCCCGTTTAGACTGTTCTGAGGTAATAAATACCAGTTCAAGTTTTTTCATTTGCATTAAGATGCATGAAATGTTCCAGTTTTTTTTTTTTTTTTTTTTTGCATAATGTTTTCGACACAAAGGTGGCCAGAGCAGGGTTGTGCACTTTTACAGCTGTTGTTACTGGCATCTTTCTCTCAGTCTGAGGAGTCGATGTGCAGTCGGAGAGGAGATCCTGTAATCCCTCAGCTGTCTAAGGATGGGGATATTATGTTGGGGGGCATTTTCTCTTTCCACAGCAGCTGGAAAAACCACGAGAACACTTACTCAGAAAAGCCTCCTCCACTGGAATGCATCAGGTAAATTATGCTATAGAAGTATATTATTTATTGTGTCAATATTACCAAAACCAGGCATATTTTAATTTCAATTTAAAAAGACATTTTATTTGTTTAATGTTGATGGACTTTTTAAACTGATTTTTGAATCAAGTTTGAATTTCAGAGAGTTCCAGTTTGCTCAGGCCATGCTTTTTGCCATTGAGGAAATCAATAACAGTACAGACCTACTTCCAGGCATTTCTCTGGGATATAGCATTCATGATGCTTGTGGTTCTATTGCCAGAAGTGTAAAAGCTGCGCTAGCTTTGAACAATGGTAATGACAATACATCTTCAACCTTCGAGGAGCCATGTACCAGCCATGCACAAGTACTGGCTGTATTGGGAGAAACCTCCTCGTCTCCCAGCACAGCAATAGCTACTGTTTTAGGACCATTTCATATCCCATTGGTGAGTGTTGCTGATGTTGAAACTATACTTGTCAAACTCGAAATGTTTATTTCATGTTTTCAAAAGTGATTGAAGCAATTTGTTTTCATTTAATAATCTGTGTAATCTGTTTGTATGTCACACATTTTTCTTATTTTTTTTTAGATCAGCCACTTTGCTACATGTGCTTGTCTCAGTGACAAAACCAAGTACCCATCCTTTCTTAGAACAGTGCCCAGTGACTACTATCAGAGCAGAGCTCTAGCTCAGTTGGTTAAACACTTTGGATGGACTTGGGTTGGCACTATCAGAACCAATGATGATTATGGCAACAATGGCATGGCAACATTCACAGAAACTGCAGAGCAGCTGGGCATCTGTCTGGAATATTCTATTTCTTTCTTTAGAACAGATTCATCTGAAAAAATACAAAAGATAATTGACATTATCAAGGCTTCTACTTCAAAGGTTATTGTTGCTTTTCTTTCCCACATGGATATGGATGTGCTCATACATGAGTTGTCCAATCACAACTTGACAGGATATCAGTGGGTTGGCAGTGAGTCGTGGATTTTTGATTCTCAAATTGCAGCAATGGATAAGAATCACATCCTGGATGGAGCTATAGGACTTTCTATCCCTAAAGCACATGTCAGTGGTCTGAAAGAGTTCATGCTGGATGTGAAGCCACTGATTTCATCCAATAATGAGTTGTTTGCAGAGTTCTGGGAGGCATTGTTCAGCTGTAAGTTTAAGCAGGTACAATCAAAGGAGAGTCAGACAGAATGTACAGGACATGAGGATCTGACTGGAGTGGAAAACAGCTTCACTGACATGTCCCTCATGCCCATTTTTAATAATGTCTATAAAGGGGTGTATGCAGTGGCCCATGCTCTGCATGATATTTTCATCTGTAATGAAAAATGCAACAACAGTGTGCAGTTTGATCCATTGAAGGTAAACTTTTTGTATGCAAAAAAAAGGCTGCCAAATATTTTACTCTACATTTACAGAATTTATTTGAAACAAGTAACCAAAAGCCAACTTTTACAGATTTTACAGCAAATACGTAAGATTCGTTTTCAAACAAAAGAGGGCCATGAGGTTTACTTTAATGAAAATGGTGATCCAGCAGCAAAGTATGACATTATAAATTGGCAGCCAAGAGACAACGACATCATTGATTTTGTCTCTGTTGGTCTTTATGATGCATCGTTAACTGCAGACAAACAGTTAAACCTGCTAAATCGATCTTTGGTTTGGGCACAGAGGTCATTGCAGGTAAAAACTATGAGGATTTCCTGCTGGTTCATAATGCTAACCCTCACTCTCTTTTACTGCATCAACAGTATTAGAAATCTTTGAGGACGTTGTGAACTTGTTTTGTTTCCTTCATCTTCTTTGTTGCTTTTATTTTTCACAGGTTCCTGTGTCGGTTTGTAGTGAAAAGTGTCCCCCAGGAACACGCAAGGTTCTACAGAAAGGAAAACCTGTTTGTTGTCATGACTGTGTTCCATGTGCAGAAGGAGAAATGGCAAATGATATAGGTTTTATATCTTTTTAATCAAACTTTTTGCTTTTGGTATTGCATAAACAAAAGTTTATATTCACAGGACAGTTTTAAATAGGGCAAGGTTTTGATTTTTCTACAGTGTCAGTCACAAATGGCCATTTAACCCTCCTGTTATGTTAATTTCTGAGGAACAGCAATAATGTCCCATTTAATCATGCTATAGTGTCAGATACCAAAAACATTCAACTAAACATTTTACATCTGATATTAGCTCATTACTAACAATTTAAATCAATATTTGTGAATTGATGTTTATTTTTCTCACACATAAAGGATCAATGAGGACAATTCACTAGTTTTCCTGAAAAAAAAAAACATGTTACATTTTTTATGTCCAATACAAAAAACATACACACAAAAAATGAGTATTAATTGTTGATTTTTCTAAATTTTTTTCTTTCTTTTTTTAGATTTTATTTTATTTATTTATTTTTTGAGGAGTGATGTTTATAATTGAACTTGAGACACCTATTCTGTTCTGGGTCAAATTGACCCTCAAATTAAAAACCAAGACAAGTGAGTCATGAAGATGTGTATTGAAAATAAACTTTATTACCTAAATGAGCAGCAACCTCTGAATGCCACAAACCTTCATCCACTGTGACATTAAGGCCTACAGGAGTGGAAGTTGTTCAACCCACTCGTCCCATTTTGTCCCAATATCTGCCAGTTTATCTGTTTCCTGTCTCACAGCTCTTGTCTCTGAATTATCAAACTGGACTACTTGGGAGAAAATATAAAGTCTCCAGAGACATTGTGACATGAAATATTGCCCTGCCTGTTTCTGCATTTCATAGATTATTTGTTGATTCATAATTTGACTTGTAGACCCCAGCCATGATGAGGACCCCCAAATATGCAAATGCATTTTATTCATCTCCTTCCAGTTTTCCCCAGAAACACACCTTTGTTTTATTTTAGTCACTTCAAGAAAGATTTTCTGTATTGACCTGGGCACGAGTAGCTCAAAGATTGACTTGGTGTCTGTGACACGAGTTACTGCCGTCCTGGTAGGCCCTGGCACTGTATTTATTATATTTTCCATGTTGTTTACTTGAAGATGAAGACCACTGTAATTCACCGTATTTTGACATGAATGGTTCCGACACATCATCTTCTGTTTCACCTTCATGATTGAAGAGAAGTTTCAGCCTTTCCAGTGCTTTCAATGTTTTTATTTCTGCTGCTCATTTTTTGAGTAACTATATAAGTATCTGCAGTGTGTAATGTTTTTAGTACTCCCTTGCAAAGAATATTCATGTCCCCCCATCCACCCAACCCCTGCTGAGTGTCCACTCAATGTGGGTGGAATTTACCCACGAGAACAAAAAGGTTCTAGTCAAAAGTTGCAAAACCACCTGCATTCTCGCACTCTCCTAGCAAAGTAAATAAAAAAGGGAGAAAGAGTGCATGTGTGTGTGTGTGTGTGTGTGTGTGTGTGTG